AAGCAGGCTTTCGGCCAGGGAGATCCACAATAGATCAATGCCTAATTATACAACATCTTATTGAGAAACACTCGGCCAAAGGAGTAACTTCAGTCGATGCCGCTTTTGTGGATTTTAAATCAGCATTTGACTCTATATCTAGAATACACCTCTGGGACAAATTAACAAATGTTTGTCTGTAGACAAAAGATGTTTAATATATTTAATATAAAAGATGTTTATAGTTAATCAGGGCCCTGAAGAAACATACCTGAGAGTCAGGTGCAGCAGACAAGGGCACCTCACGAAATCTGTGCAAACGCACAGAGGTGTTAGGCAAGGCTGCCTACCGGCACCAGCATTATTTATCTTTTATATAAATCATCTATCAAGCTGGCTTAACACTGCTGATCTCCATTCTCCTAAACTTGTAGATAGAACAGTGCCAGCTTTACTCTATGCTGATGATACAGTAATTCTATCTAGACCCCCCTGTAGGGTTGAGGGCACTTAAGAAGCTCGCCTCATACTGTGAATATAAATACCTGACTATTAACTATCACAAGACCAAGATAGTTGCCTTTGAATGTACCGTAGACCCAAGATCTAGTCATGGCAAGTATCTGGGGGTAGTTCTACAGGCCTCAGGATCTAGGCTTCCGCATAGTAAATATGAGGCAGATCAGGGAGAAAGATCGGCAAATATTATACAGTAAAATTCCATCTCTCCCAAGAAGGGTCCTTTATACCAGCAGCCCTCAAACTCTACAAAGCAAAGGCTTTAGCTCAGCTGTTGTATGGCTCATTCATGGGGCCACCCGGCTCTCACTTTGCATCACAAGAAATAGTTCGATCTAAATTTCTAAGAACTATACTCCAGGTCCCGAGATGACGAGATGCGTGTCAAATGCAAGGATAAGGCTCCAGGTCCTGAGATGCCGAGATGCGTGTCAAATGCAAGGATAAGGCTAGAAACAGGATGCCTTAAAGTAGGAGCCTGGATTAGGATCCAATCTGTATATATGTGGCTAACGGGACAATTAAACCCAAAAGGCCTATTTTCTTTGATATTTAAAGATAATTATCAATCCAAGTGGGTCAAATCTGTCCAGGGTTACTTGGGAAAAATTGTGAGATGCCGAGATGCGTGTCAAATGCAAGGATAAGGCTAGAAACAGGATGCCTTAAAGTAGGAGCCTGGATTAGGATCCAATCTGTATATATGTGGCTAACGGGACAATTAAACCCAAAAGGCCTATTTTCTTTGATATTTAAAGATAATTATCAATCCAAGTGGGTCAAATCTGTCCAGGGTTACTTGGGAAAAATTGGCCTCTCGCCCCAGGCACTTATATCTTCTGGAATAGAGCGGGCAAAACAAATAGTCAAACAAAGAATAGAGGACAATGGAAAGTGAGAAATTATAAGGTTTTATACATATGTGACTGGTCTAAGTACTGTAAAGAAACTATTCTAATACAATACAGGTCCAATGGAAAATTAACTGTAAACGTATTTCAGTCTTGATTTACAATCAGTTTTACTTGTAGTGGATAAAAAAGCTTTAGGAGTGCCATCTTCAAAAGTGATAATGGATTCTTCAGAAATGTAGCAAAGTTGTTATTTTCTTCAGACTTAGATGGGGGCAACCAAACAGTATTGATGATGACAGTCACCCTCTTTCCCCCTTTGACAGCTTGCCCCATGTGGGCAACTATTCAGCATTTCTGCAAAGCAACAACAAGCAATGGTTTGCCACCAAATCATAGCTTTGACAAATGGCTTAAAAAAAAAATTAGGTCTGGATTTTTTGTTGTTGTTTTTGGATGTGGGGAATGTTGTGTGAATTCCTATGACCTGAAATCATCTTTTTTGATGCTCCCTTTGGTGCCAGGCAAGAAACCGTGGCTTGCTTGTGATATATTTACTTGTTTGCTACATTTGCATTCTGCCTTTTCTGCTATCAGTTTCCTTCCAATGAGTCAATAAAAAAGGTCAAGATGGCAACAAGCCTCTCCTGTGCCCCATGTTATCATTTTTACAACCTTCTCAGATTGTTGCTGTACCAAGAAATGGTTATGAACTCATACAAAGTTACATGCACCTCTAGATTGGAGTGAGAAATGTGGTCAGCTCTGGTGGCCAAATTTTCACTCCCAGTGCCTCCCCGCAGGTGGCCAAGAAATGGCTGAAAAGTGCCCCAAATACGGATAAATAAAAAGTGCCCAGATGGTCATTGCCAGTGGGGGGAAAAACAATCCCCAGCTCCCAATTATTTTGCACCGGAGATGTATTAGCAAGTTCTGAAGTGTGCCTAATGACCTTGGGGGCCCTATGGGCTGCGCTTCGCTCACCCCAGTCAAGATACATTTACAAAACAATCCTAACAACTGATGTGTAAAGGCCAGTCCTGAAAATCCAAACAACAATTTCTCCAAGGATTCGTGAGTCTTTAATTCCAAACAGCAGCAATGCCTAAGAGCATACTGAGGGAATTTGAATCGATATTCCTAGTTTGGTTGGAAAGGATTTAATTTTCTGTGATTTTGATAAAGGGAAATAAAACTGGCAGTTGTTCTGAGCACAGCATTCACAATCTACATCTTGTCCTCTCTGGACTGCATAAATAAGCCAATCCCACTTTGGAAGATCATCTTAAGCCCAGCAGGAGGGCTGTTTTCCACCACTCTCATTAAATAGCGAAGGGCTGCTTAAAAATGTCATATTGGACAAATAGCTGGCTTCCCAGCAATGGTCTGCTGTGCTATTCAGTTTAGCCTTTCAACTTCCACTTGATGCAGTTTGATGGATTTAATCATTCCAATTGTCTTGCCATACAAGGACTGAACTCCTGTTCCTTAGCATGTCGTTGTTTAGTCGTGTCCGACTCTCCGTGACCCTATGGACCAGAGCATGCCAGGCCCTCCTATCTTCCACTGCCTCCCGGAGTTCTGTCAATTTCATGTTGGTTGCTTCGCAGACCCTGTCCAGCCATCTCATCCTCTGTCGTCCCCTTCTCCTCTTGCCTTCACACTTTCCTAACATCAAGGTCTTTTCCACAGAGTCTTCTCTTCTCATGAGATAGCCAAAGTACTGGAGCCTCAGCTTCAGGATCTGTCCTTCCAGTGAGCACTCAGGGTTGATTTCCTTTAGCATTGATAGGTTTGTTCTCCTTGCAGTCCAGGGGACTCTCAAGAGCCTCCTCCAGCACCACAATTCAAAGGCATCAATTCTTCGGCGGTCTGCTTTCTTTATGGTCCAGCTCTCACTTCCATACATCACGACAGGAAAAACCATAGCTTTGACTATTCGGACTTTTGTTGGCAAGGTGATGTCTCTGCTTTTTAAGATGCTGTCAAGGTTTGTCATTGCTTAGCACAGTGGGTCACAAATAGAGTAGACTCACTAAATCAGTGCAGAATCACCACACTGTAAGTTGTGGTGATTCAAACAGATCTACTGTACCGGTGACTTACTTTGGAGTGGTAAGTTGAAACTAATCAATGGTACTTGCAGACTAATTTAATAGGCCTACTCTAGTTGCAACTTACTACACTAAGCAACAGAATTTCAGCCATGGAATGAAGTTTTGGGGAAAAAATTAATAACAAAATTAATGATAACAATCCTAGTGACTATTATCTAGGGCAGAAATTACTGTGATTTGTATTTCCTTTTTGCAAGAAAATTAGGTACAGCATTAAATCCTGTTCTCTGTTAACAAGGGTGTTGGAGTGTTATGAACACAAAGACAGAGGTTCCAATGAAGTTCCTTTTAAACTCTTATGCACACCATCAAAGAGCAATTACACACTTGAATACTGCAGGTGTCATTTTTAGTGCAAAGATATCCGTGAAATGTTACGAGTGAACACTTAACATTAATTTAAGACTGTCACTCTGCATCTCACTGCAGTTAAAATCAGTCCAGCGGGTTTGTCACTCACCTTTGTTCATTTCCAGCATATGCTAGGGTTCCCATTTTTTCCTCCACACTCCTCACATTTCAACTAGAAAACTCAGAGCGTGGAGAAGTTATTTTTCTCAAACTAGAACTCTCAGCCAACACTGGACGTGTTCACTGGAGAATTCTGGGAAATATAGTTTTTTTAAAACTACCTTTTTAAAGCACTGAGAAAAACCAAAGTATTATGATACAGGAAGAGACTTTAGGTGGAGTAGGAAAAGAGACCGGAAGCACATAGGAAGAAAATGTAATGTACGGGTGGGAAACTTGGGCTGTTCAGATTTTTAGACTACATCTCCCATAATCCTTTACCCACTGGCTATGCTGGATGGGGTTGATGGAAGTTGAGGGCCAGAACATCTTGAAAACAAGATGTAAGAAGTGGTCACACTAGTGGATGATCACAGAGACATGGGAAGCAGTGGAATGTAGGAGTCAATTTCCTTCTCAACTGGAACTAAACCACCACCACTATAAAAAGTTGGATTGCAAGCACACTTCAGAAAAGAGCTAGACATTCCATGGTGTATTACTGGTCTAACAAAATGTTTCCATGGCATATAAACATATACTGTCATGAAAGAAAATAAGGAGCAAAGTCCTACTAAGCATTTTAAGTAGGCCGTGGCAAAAGTAACTTTTTACTTGAAGGGAAAACTAGTTAGCACTGCCCAACCCCCTACATAGTGCAAATGCTTCTTCTGATCTTAACCACTGATGTGCAAAATTTTTAAAGACGTTAAGATTTCAGGAAGCAAAAACACATGCTGGACTCCCAGGCAGCTACAATTACAGGTACCTACACTCGATCGAAAGCAGTAGCATTTTTAGCATGGAGGCAACTTTAACTTGCCTCAATGAAACTGGAATCACAACTTTTACTGTCAATAGACTTGAGACCCTTAGGTCCATTAACTGAGCTTTCAGTTATGCTATTCCATGACTAGGCACAGCTGGATAATTTCAAAACCTAGTGAGTCAGTCTCCCACTCTCCAGCCTGTAGTGTCAAATCATTTTGACGGTATCCTCCAGAAGTGGCATGCAAATCTTTTATTTAAAAAAAAGGGGGGGGAGTCCTCTTCAAACACTGTTCAGGAGTGAGATACTCTTCAGTGTATTTGGCACAGGTGATATTCACCATCATGGTTCATTTTTTCTCATTCTGTTCCATGGATGTGTCAGGTGGTTGAGGTGAAGTCCACTAATCCCATTAAGAAAGAAAAGGAAGGCTGAAATGAACTCACACCAGTAGGTTAAGGTGAAGCCTATGAAGGAGATGTAGTCCCTTAGAAGGATTAAGAAGCTTAACACTCCAGCAGATGAGAACAGAAAGGAGAGAAGAATAAGGATGGAGCCCATGGACCACTTCTTTCTTGAGTTGATGTCTTCGCAGACTTGCGAGACCATGAGGAGTTCCAGGCCAAAGATGGCGACTACAACAGCAAAAGACACCATGCTCCTTACAAAAGTCATTCCTACGTTGATCCCTGCGATGTTGGCCAAAGTGAGGTTGGTGGCGCATTTCAAGGCGCTGTTGTTGCCGATGGTGCAGAAGTGCCACAGTCCAAAGAGTTTTCCTTTGGCAAAAAGCCAGTGGCCGTCACACACGGCGATGGAGGACAGGACAACGGCGATGGCGACGCAGAGGATAATGAGGCTCCGAATAAACGTCTCGAAGAACGATCTCTTTGGTCTCCTCTGGGCAAGCAGCCACTGGGCCTTAAAGAGGAATTCACAAAAGGGACAAGGGTGGGGGGGTGAGGAGAAGAGAGAGAAAGTTAAAACATGTGTTCTTTATTTCCAGGCAAGGGGGTCATTTGTTTTAAATCACAGTGAACAAACAGGGTTATCAATGATGTGGGTGACTTGAAAAGACTCTCATTTATAGCAAAAACCACTGAAGTCAATTAAATACACCCGGCAGGCAGTTTACTTACAGTTCAGTTCAAAAGTGCCTTGAGAAAGGGCAGTCAGTCAGTATTTATGTATCCCCTGAATGCTACTGAAGATATGAGACATCTTACCCAGAACAGTGTCCCTCCAATAATCCATTTTTGTGAACTTTCTTTATCTATTTGATGGATGTGCAAGATTGAGAAATAGAGCAAATCATCTGTAATAGTTCATGTCCAACCCAAAGAAATTTGAGTTTTTCTACTCCTAAATGTGATTGTCCTCTTTGTGTTTTAAAGGCAGTGTCTTGGCTGATAGCTCTTTGGTGGAGCACTGACATCCTATTTTCAGTTTTACTAAATTGTAGCTTCAGTTCTGCTAGAGAAGACCAGCTCTTGTCTGCCACTACAACCTCCCTCCTACTATCTGAAGCAATTTTAAGTGCATATGTATCTGTCTGAGAAGGAAGAAAGAGATGGGCACTTACTGTAACTCAGCAGTTCGGTGCAGTTCAGTGATCAGGACCTACAGGTGTTGCATGGCTGCTCCGGATTCCATGCCCCACCTCAGGAGATGGGGCAGGGAAGCCTGCAGTGCTACTTCTGATGGGGCGCCCCAGGAGGAGGCAGAGCAATGGAATCTGGGGGCCCTGCCCAACACCTGGGGCCCCAATTGCCGAACCACCTTACATAGTAAGTGCCCATCTCTAAAAAAAACTCTGTTGCATGTGGGGCTTGCTGATTATTACAACTGCTACCACAGATGGCTAACCAATTGCCACTGCAACATGGTCTGTTGATCCCAAAGCTGTACTTGGAAAAGCAAGTTTCACTATTACATTCAATTCATCACAACTCCCCTCAATTTTATGAATGTGGGATATTGTGATTCTGTACCCATGATTCAAAAAGCCAGGAGATGGCCCAAATTGGTGCACAATATTGTGCCCTCACTGCGGACAGGGAAAAAGGATGCTAAGCTTTACATAGCAAAGGGCAGTCTGAGTGTTGACAACACTAATGGCATCTGTGAAGATGGTCTCCAGGATATTCTCTTCTGCTTACTACTATTCACAAAGAGACACCAAGCAGGGGAAAATCCAAGAACCTGACTCCTTTTTCCATCAGTTAGCCACTTCTCACCCAAATACAAAGCCGTTTTAAAGCTGCTTTTCAACAAGAGTAAATGTGGGTACTTAATCAAGTCAAGCCTGAACTCTCATTAAAGCAAAAATGAGTAAACTGAGGCTGTCCTATCATGCACATATAACGAAAATACAGAACTAACCAGAACAGACAACATTGCTTGGAAAAGTGGTGTGTACGAGAGGCTGTAGAAAAGGGGGAAGATTTAACATGAAAAGGGGAAAAGATCACATTGCTAGGAGTTAACTCAACAAAGGAACCACAGCTCTTAGTTTGCAAAACATGAGCAGAACTTACTGGAAAAGATCACATTGCTAGGAAGAGGGTAGGGCAATAGGAAGAGAGAACAATGTTAACATGAGACGTGTTTGGTTTGCAAAATGTGAGCAGAGCTGTCAATAATATGACATTTTGGAGGTCATTAACTCATATAGTCACCATACATGAGGTGACTTGATGGTGCATGACATCTTTGGAGTTTTTTTCCTTAATTACCAGAGAACTGTATATTGTATATTGACCAGATGGGTGGAAGGATTGAAACACTGACAGCATATAAGTACCAAAGCTCTGATAAGATCAATTAAGAGCATCCCCAGCTACAAAGCAAAACAACAACAACAAACCCACCAGTAATTTCACAGCTTGACCTTCTTAATATTTGTTCTCTATTCTTTTTAAAAATATATGTAAAAAATATTTTTACAACCAGACACAGAATCCCTTTGTCAGTCACAAAGGCCTGTTTGGCCAGGAAGGCATTAAAAAGTTCTCCTTCTGAGAGTCAGCTAACTGGATTCTGAATGACAGGGTCAAAAGTTCAGATTGCCACAGAACTGGAGCTGATTTCCTCCTTGAAGACTGGTCTCAAAAATCCTGAGACAGCATTTGCTGAGAGCAATCAGGGCTGGGAGAAACATAACTGCTTCATGCTTTTTGTAATGCAGAAATACTCTGAATATGCCTAACAAAATTGTATGCAAATCCCCTGGAGATACATGGCAAAATGTCTCCCTTTCTGGAGGACTGTAACTCCATTACTTAAAGTTTTTTTTTAAACTCCTCAAAGAAACACTTTATTTTGACTGTTTCTGTGACCTTTCATTGGCTTCCAAATATCTCCTTTCCATGTTCACAAAGCTGCAACCATGGATTTACTCTGGAAGCTTTGTGCTGGCTAAGCCTGTCCCATACAGTTCATAACAAAGTCACTGCTCTACCATTTTGAAAGGCCTTTTTTGAAGATCAATATTTCAGCCCCCACAGCCTGGATTCCTTTTGATTTTTTAAGGTGGTGCCAAGAGGGTCACTGATGTCTGTGGGTATATGAATGTATCCTTATATATATTTTTAAAAATAGTAACTTAAATCCTATTTAACAAAAAAATCACCAAATCTGGCACAGAGCAACATTGTACTTCTGTGCCAAATTTGGTGCTGATCTGAAGCCCGCTTTCAAAGTTATAATGTTTTGTTTGGGTTGCCCTTGTTTTTAGAATTGCCTTATAGAATATTGATTTGCTCTGACATTGTATTACGAGAGTGCAGTGATAATGATTAAAGATGAAGATGGTTGGGGAATGAGAAAGAGTACTGGGAATGGTAAAGGTGAGACAAAGGGTGGCTAGAGAGAAAGACTTCAGGAGTCAAAACAAGCTCCTGATATGGGTCAGTGTTTTGCTAGGGTGACAGATAAGAAGGCCAAAGGTAGAAGTGGTGTGATTTATCAACAGATAGATTTGAAGCTTTCTGGATCTGCTCTGCTTTTTAACTAGAATGCAGAACAGATCTAGTAAACAGATCCATCAAGACTCAAATGGAGAATAGTTAAATGTGGAGGCAAACCTGATACAAAATGGTGATTTGGAGGTGAAGCCAATTACTGGCTAACCCCCTTCCCTGAAAGCTCGCATAAATAAATACAGATCTATATCAGAGTAACAACTGATGTGCCTTCCAACACAAAACACCTGATATAGGACAGCAGAACTGCACAAAGGCTTGGTTAAAGGTAACCATATTTTTATAGGCAAGGAACACTGAAGAAACACACTTGATACAGTTGTGATTAATAAAGCAAAAGCAACGTGTGTTGTTTATAGTACTTAAAGCTCTATCAGGGTGGTTTATAATTTAATTATGGAGGCTATACATCCCTCCCCCCCACTTAATATTCAGTTTATCAACCTCGGAAGGATGGGAGATTGAGTCAACCTCAAGCCAGCTCTCAGAGGCTGGGATCAAACTCAAGTTGTTAGCAGAGTCTTGACTGCAGTACTGCAGTTTAACTACTGCACCACAAGGCCCCTTTAGTATTGAAAAGGTCAGCTATAGCAGATATTATTTAAAAAACAACATGCAGCTTTATCGCACTTTTTCAACAACTGCAAGTCCAAAATCCTTGGAGAGCCAAGAAATCAGAAGAAGACTGAAACTCAGAAGAGCAGCAGTTAAGGAATTAGAAAAGATAATCGAGTGTAAGGATGTGTCACTGGAGACCAGAACCAAGATCATCCACACTTTGGTATTCCCAATCCCCATGTATGGCGGTGAAGGCTGGACAGTAAAGAAAGCTAAGACGAAAAGAACTCATTTATTTGAAATAGGGTGCCAGAGAGAGTTTTGCAAACACACTGGACCACCAAAAAGACGAACGAGTGGTTCGTAAAGCAAATCAAGCCTAAACTTTTCCCTGGAAGGCAAAAATATTGAAACTGAGGCAGTCCTACTTGGGCACAAACTGAAAAGACAAGAATCTTTCAAAAAGGTGGAAGGTAGCAGGAAAAGAGGAAGACCGAGTACAAGATGGATTAACTAAAGGATGCCACAAGCTTGAGCTTGAAAAAGTTGAGTAGGGCTGTTGAGGACAGGATTACCATAAATCAGAGGTGACTTGATGGCCCCTAAACCCACAACATCTGTCTGCAAGCCTTTGAAACACTGCCGTGCTTCTCCCCTTCTTCAGGTTGCACAGTTCCGCAACCTCAAAGCATCCACGGGGAGCTTCCTCCCTCTACCTTTCCCTCTCCTCAACTGCCCCCCCCCTTGCACACACCCGTGGCTTATTTTGTTGTTCCATAGCTCTTGCACAAAAGCCTCACAGGAGCCACCCGGCGAGAGTCCATTTTGCTGAAACATCAGCAATAACATGCCAGCGAGGGCTGGAGTTGCTGCTCTTTGTAAACAAGCCCTTGCCTTCCAGGCGGAAAGAGAGGAACTGGAGCAGTTTCAGGAAAGGATCCGAAGCTCCGAAGTCAACAACAACAACCCCCCACCCCACCCAGTTCAGCTTTCGGAGCACAAGCTCTCGGCCGATGTTGGGCTTAGAAAGGCAGTCCTCGGTACCCTGAAACCCTCCCTCCTCCAACACCAGACGGCACTTCGCGAAGGAAAGGGCGGGTGTTTTGTCACCGGTCTTTGGAGCCAAGGCAGACCCCGGCACTCGAAGGGGAAACCGGCTTCTGCCGGCATGGCCCGAGGGCCTCCTTGCCCTCCGCGGAGTCCCAGGCGAGCATCTTATTATTAACTGGAAACTCTTTGGGATCCAAAAAGAGCGCAGCCCCCTCGGCGCTGATCCTCTGCAGGCGGAAGCGCTCGCGTCTGCCCCTGTTTTAACAGGAGGAGGAGGCGCAGAGAGCGCAACAGGTGCCCGGGGAAAGTCGGCGAGGCGCGGCTCCGCCGGTAGGGCGACGGGCGGTCAACATGGCCAGGCGGCGCCCGGGAGCAGGGAGAACAAAGGACCCCCGGAGCTCGCCCA